CTCTTATCAGAGCTACGGCTTGCCCAAGGTCATCCAGCCAGGAGTGGGGAATCGAACCCGGTTCTCCCAGATTAGAGTCCGCGCACTTAACCACTACACCAAACTGGCTGTTAGGTGACCTCCACTCTTGAGAGGAGAGAATGTTCGGCCCCTGTTTATAAGTCTGAACCTTACCTTTCATTCCAGTGTATTTGAAAAAGGTGTGCCCGCACACGAAAGCTCATCCCTTGAATAAAACTTTGTTGGTCTTAAAGGTGCCTGACTGGACTCGAAATTTGTTCATATAATAGATGGTGATATATAGTTCCTTTTAAAGATTCCAACCAGATTTTAATCAGACAGAGTCAATGTTCCCTCTAAGCTGTGGAGTCTCATGAGCAAAACTTCTACTTTGTGAGCTACTGGCATTAAAGTTGTGAGCGAGCGATTTGGCTACTGCATACATTAGTTAGCTCTGGAGCCATCCTTCCTGAGCTAAGACAGAAATGTGTGAGCTGGAGGCTAAAAAACTGTGAGCTAGCTCACACTAGCTTCAGCTTAGAGGGAACACTGGACAGAGTCTAATACCAGAATGACACCATAGACTCCAGGTCAGATATGATCTCACTCGATTGACCTGCTCACAAAATTTCATCCAACGGCCCAGGATAAACTGATCTCATCAGACTTCGGAATCTAAGCAGGGTCAGCCGTAATTAGTACTTCGATTGTAGAGATGGAAGCTACGCAGAGGCAGGTGATGGTGAACCACCTCTGAACATCTCTGAAAACCCTATTGGGGTCACCATAAGTCAGTGGCAACCTGACAGCACATTCCGCCATTTGGAACGTCCAAAGGAGAGATATCTGTTTCGCCAGACCCTGGAATCCAGGCGGCGCTTTGAAAGGCAAAGAGCAGGTAATAGAATCAGCTTTGCAAAGTGCAACTGTTTAGAAAGACTAAGATAAAAATGACGTACTTTTAAAAAAATGGCAACAGCTTTGCCTTCGGGCATGGCATGAGTTATGTGCAAAACAGAGGTGGGGCGGGGCGTCCCACTTTCTAGATCCGGGCATTTCATTGCAGCCGATCCGAGGCCCGCCAAACAGTGCCACCACCACCCCCCCTGCTCAGCCTGAAGTCAGACAGAAAGCACCCTGGAGACAGATCCCCATTCCTCTCTCATTGCACAATTGACCGATCTAACCTACATTGCCTTTATGGAGCCCAAGATGGCAGGAGATCTCTGCCTCAAGGCGCTTACAATCTACATTTTGCCCCAAGGCTGGTGGGATGAGTGAAGAAACAGGGGAAGGATCTACAGCCGGTCCGGTTAGCTGTGCTTTGGGTCCAGCTTTGTGGGCAAAGGGACGGAGGGCTTCATGACTACCAAAGGTGGGTCTCCAGGAAAGCACGAGGTATAACGAAAGTATAAACACGAGGGTGAACAAGGTAAACCGTACTGGGAATGATTTGACCAAATGCTTGGTGTCTCTCACAAGCCTCTCCTCTACTGACAGGGAGGATAAAGCCACTTTGTAACAATATTTCCCGTACTTTTCTCAAGCTCTCAGCTTTCAATTGTAACTCTTAGATCACAGACTTAACCGTCTGCTTAACACAGAGACTTCAGGACAAAACTCATATATTAACTGCTTTTAACACAGCACACTCTGCTCTCTCTAACTGTTTTACTCAACTGTCTGTTTAACTGTTTAACTCAACTGTCCTACCTCACAGACACACCAGATAGACATTCCATCTGGTTGGTGGATCCAGGCAAAACACACAGAGACAGGAAGTGAGAGAGGGTCTCAGCACACCACAGCCAGTGTTCCCTCTAAGCTGAGTTAGTGTGAGCTAGCTCACAGCTTTTTTAGCCTCCGGCTCACACATTTTTGTCTTCGCTCAGGAAGGATGGCTCCAGAGCAAACTGATTTATGCAGTAGCCAAACCACCTGCTCACAGCTTTAATGCCAGTAGCTCACAAAGTAGAATTTTTGCTCAAAGGGCTCCATAGCTTAGAGGGAGCATTGGCCACAGCACTCCTCCATTCATCGTACAACCTCTGCCCTCACCAAGCCTGAACCCCAAATGGCGTCTCAGAAGCGGCAGCGGGCACCCAAGAGATGCCGTGGCTGATACGATGGGTCAAATCCAGGGTGAACGTCTGCTGGATCTGTTCCAAGGAGTACCCCAAAGTTCTGATAAGTAGCTATTTTTCCCCTGGTCTCTTGTGGTCGTACAGAAAGTGTGAAATTGTGCCCCCAGCAAAGTGCTAGACTAGAAGGAGTTTCCAGGGCTCAGGGCGCTGGGAGCCTGAACAGTTCCTCGCACTTTCAGGAGCCCCCTGGCTAATCTTCTCTTCCTTCCCTTCCACCTCCCCACTTTCCTTCCTACTATTTTATCTCCCCTAGTCTTGCCAAAAAAACACACCAACCACCACCACCAAACTTCAGCGTTTTCGCAGACCTAAATCCCCAAAGCAGGAGGGATCACAGAAAAGGAGGCAAAGATGGGTGCAGGTCACACCTGTGAAACGCCTCTATTCATCCCCACCGAAAGCTCACAATGTCACGTAAACAAAGCCAAGCAGGATCAGACCAATGGTCCGTCCAGCCTCACGGAGGCTGAAAAGATGCCCCCAGAGGGATCATGCAAGTAGCTAACCGAAGCCAAACCCTCCCCCTGCCAGTGCCACCCCCACCCACCAGCATTCAAAGGTACACTGCCCTTGAACATGGAGGCTCCACTTAGCCATGGCAGCCACGGACAGACTCTGAACATCTCCCATCCTGTTTGAAATCCAGCTGTCATCCCTACATCTGACGGCAGTGATTCAGTCCCTACAGTAACGCCATCAAATCAGTGACACATAAGTGGCAAAGGCGTACTTTGGTCACCCGCCATCTCTCTCGTCAGTGTGGGAGGACTCCAGATTCCGCTCTTGCTCATCCAAGAGACCTGTGAAACTTAGGGGGGAAACAGGCGCACGTAGACTGGGCTACTGGCTGAAGAATCCCGCCTAGTGCTGAAGCCCAAGCAAGGGGAACCCTTCCTATGTGCGGGGAGGGCGGGGTATAAATGGAATTAAATAAATAAATATTTTCAAAAGCTGGTTTTATGAACCTCTCCCATCCCCAGTGTCCCCTCTAAGGTGAGTGAGTGTGAGCTAGCTCACACTTTTTTAGCCTCCAGCTCACACATTTCTGTCTTAGCTCAGGAAGGAGGGCTCCAGAAAAAGCTAGTTGATGCAGCAGCCAAATGTCTCGCTCACCAGGAGCTCGCAAAGTAGAATTTTTGCTCACAAGACCCCACAGCTTAGAGGGAGCATTGCCCATCACCAGTGTTCCCTCTAAGCTGAGTTAGTGTGGGCTGGCTCACACTTTTTTAGCCTCCGACTCACCCATTTTTGTCTCCGCTCAGGACGGAGGGCTCCAGAGCGAACCAATTTATGCAACAGCCAAATCGCTGGCTTCCAGCTTTAATGCCAGGAGCTCACCAAGTAGGATTTTTGCTCACAGGACTCCACGGCTTAGAGGGAGCCTCGCCCGTCCCCTTGGACCGAAAGGCGTCGACGCCGCCCTTTCGTCTCAACATCGCGGGGAAGGTTCCACACCCGGACAGCTGAGACTCGCAGCCCCGGGAGGGGATCCATACAATCGGCCTGGCTGCACGGGGAGGCGAGGGCGAAGCCAGCCCCTGGCTCGGCTCCGAGGCGCGCACACACACCCCACACAC